TCATTCAGAAGAAACTTTATTATAGATAGTTCTCGACATACACCAAAACTGGGATTGGAAAATTGGTTGTTAAGGGGCGCAGTCATTAAGTGAAGTGTCATGTGACTGTGATGTTTTTTGGGGGGTCATTAAGTGAATCACTGTGGCTGTTAAGCAAGATATCATGTGACCGTGACTTGTCTTTCTGTAAAGACCACTCATCTTTTGCTGGCTGTTCTTCTCTTTACTATACATGTAGTCCTCAACTTATAACCACAATTGGGAGCAGATTTTCCATCGTTAAGTAAATTGCACTCCTTTATATGATCTTATTTGCCACAGTTGTTAAGAGAATCTCTTCAGTTGTTAAGTGAATCACATGGGCGTTAAGTGAATGTGGCTTCCCCCATTGACTTTGCTTGTTGGGAGCCAGCTGGGAAGGTTGCGAGTGGCGATCCCACGATCCCACGATCCTAGCTGTTCTCAATACATGTCAATTGCCATGCCCTTGAATTCTGATCACCTGACTTTGGGGATAGAAAAGAATAGAATTCTTTATTGGCCAAGTGTAATTGGACACACAAGGAATTTGTCTTGGTGCAAATGCTCTCAGTGTGCATAAAAGAAAAGATACATTCGTCAAGAGTCAAGAATCATAAGGTACTTTGTAAATAGTTGAACAGTGTTGAAGGAATTATTTGTTTAGCAGGGCGTTCGGGAAAAAAACGGTTCTTGTGTCTAGTTGTTCTGGTGTGCAGTGCTCTATAGCGTCGTTTTGAGGGAAGGAGTTGAAACAGTTTATGTCCAGGATGTGAGGAGTCTGTAAATATTTTCACAGCCCTCTTTTTGACTCGTGCAGAATTCAGGTCCTCGATTGAAGGCAGGTTGGTAGTAATTGTTTTTTTTTCTGCAGTCCTAATTACTTTCTGAAGTCTGTGTCTGTCCTGTTGGGTTGCAGAACCCAACCAGACAGTTATAGAGGTGCAGATGACAGACTCAATATGGATGGTACAGTGGTCAGAAGAAACAAGGATCAGGTGTAAGTCATTTTTTCAGTGCTGTTGTAACTATCTGTACTTCCACTTCTCCCAACCCAAACTTTTGAGAACGAATGGATAAAAGGATGCTTTTCACTCCTTTCAGTACAAGTAGTCCTCGACTTACAACAGTTCATTTAGTGACCATTCAGAGAGTCACAATGGCATTGAAAAAAAAAGTGACTTATGACCATTTGTCCACACTTAACATCATTTGCAGCATCCCCATGGCCAAATTCACTTAACAACCGTGTTACCAATTTAACAACTGCAGTGATTCACTCAACAAAGGTGGGAAGAAAAGTCTTAAAATGGGGCAAAAGTCCCTTAGCACATTTCTCACGTAGCCACATAAATTCTGGGCTCCATTATGGTCATAAGCCGAGGACTACCTGTATTTGACTGACTTGATTATGTGCAGTCAGCATCCCAAAATGGAAAGTCCTGCCATGGGAAGCGCCTTGTATTTTGCAGATCATAGATGGAACGGTGGTTTGAAAGACTCATCACAAAACCAAGGGAAGGAAACACATTTATGAGAGGAGATTTAAGAGAAATAGTAATGTGCAAACACACACACACACACACACACACGTACACGGAAATATACAAGTATATTTTAGCAGAAGTGCACTTACTGCATATAGCCGTGAAGATTTACCAAAAAATATGCAGCACCATGGATAATTTGGTCCTGTCATGCCCTTGGTAGAGTCAGACTCTGAGGGAGAGGAGGAACAGCCAACAGGGAGTGGAGGTGTGGCTCCGGAGGTTGTGGAAGAGGCTGAGGAAGGGCAGAGGCTGGCTGGGCAGTCAGAGGAAGAACCAGGCCCATCCCCTCTGCATTCTAGGACACGCAGGGAGGAACAGAGAAGGAAACAACTTGGTTTATGAGAGAGGAAGTGGCCATGATTCTCCTCATTGGTTGCAACTGGGGAGAATAGTATATAAGACAGGGGTCCCCAACCACCACGCCCCAGACCGGTACCAGTCCGTGGATCATTTTCTACTGGGCTGCCGGTTTGCTGGGCGCCGCCATCTTGTTTCGATGAGAACGTGCTTCCAGGTGAGCTTTTCCGGTTGGAAAGCAGCGTTTAGGTCCTGAAGGAATCCTCGCGCCTTAGTTTCATCGAAGGGGGGGCGACTTCGTACAAAGAGCCGTCCCGATGGCGGAGGAGATTAAGAAAGCACAAAAAAGGTACAAAGGAGGAGTTGAAGGTGGCAGGGAGAAGCAGGGGACGGCTGGCTGGCTGGTCGCTCGGCTCTCCTTGTCATGTGTGCTGATGCCGGTACCGGGCCGCGGATCATTTTGTGATGCTGGTACCGGGCCGTGGCACAAAAAAGGTTGGGGGCTACTGATATAAGAGAGACAATTACAACACAATGTTGCCAGAAGCAACGTGTGGGTTATTTTGGGCTGAAGTTATCTTGGTTGGTGTCCTTCCAACTGTGCCTTGATACCCCCTTGAATTTGGTAATTACTTATCCTGGTCCGTTGTGGAAATTTCGTCATTGTAGTTTGTTTTTTTATTTCACCTCTATCTGCACATTAAGTTTGGACTGTATTGCTTTCTTTTGAAGACTATTTTTGAGTACGTTTTATCTCCAACTGAGAATTATTGAACAGTGGGACCAAGTTGGAGGCATTAAAGGATTTTATTTATGTTTTGGATTTTGTTACATTTGTGTTACACTCTGGGTCATCACAGGTCCTACCACAGGATTCTCAAGGTCAGTGTTAGTCTGACTGACAATATGACAAAGAAATTTGCATGACTTCCTCACCATGAAGACTTGAAAGTAGTGATTTAATTACGATTACAGCCAGGCAAGAAACATATACTTACAATACTATTTGCTTTAATAAATACATTTTAGGCTGTGCTTCGCGCTATTTCTCAAAGTTCGCAGTACTACCGTCACTGTCTGATACAGTTCTGTGACATTGTTCATCACCCAATTGGATTGAGATGGGAGGCTATAGAAACTGAGTGACTGATGGAATAAATATTATAACTGTGAAGAAAAAATGTGATCACGAATAGCTTGAAAAAGAAGAGATTCATTGTATTAGTATAATACCCTTAACCAAGCCAGCGGAGGCTGAGTAGCTGCTTTCTGACATGCTAAGTTTAACTGACATTGGTTTGCTTTGTTGTTGCTTGGTGTGTTACATGAACCTAGCCCAGGGGTGTCAAACTTGAGGCCCATGGGCCAAATCCGGCCTGTAGGGTGCTTAGATCTGGCCCACAAGGTTGCCCTGGAAACAGTGAAGGGCCAGCCCATGGTGCCTCTGCCAGCAAAAACAGAGCTCTGTTTTCACTGGCAGGGCACTTGGGCCACCACAGGCACCCCGACAAGTGATGTTGACCTGGCCACGTTTACCTGGCCATGCCCAGCCCCCCCCCCCCCCCAAGATCAAACACAACCCTGAAGCGGCCCTCAACGAAATCTAGTTTGACACCCCTGACCTAGCCTTTTTAGTCAGTGTGTGGTTCAAGTTGTGGTGCATCACCTTCAGGGTGGGTTTTCCGGATTTGCACAACACAAGGAGCTGAGTTTATGTTTATGTTTTATTTATTTGTCAATTGCTTACAAGATAATAGGTATAAGTAAAAACATAGTTATGAATACATGGATACATATAAGAAAAAAATATATAAAAGAAACAATAGGACAGGGATGATAGGGACGTTGGTGCGCTTATGCATGCCCCCTATAGACCTCTTAGGAAAGGGGCGAGGTCAATAGTAGACAGTCTAATGTTAAAGTTTTGGGGGTTTGGGTAAAAAACCACAGAGTCAGGTAGAGTATTCCAGACATTGACCACTCTGTTGCTGAAGTCGTATTTCCTGCAATCAAGTTTGGTGCAATTAACCTTGAGTTTGTATCTATTGTTTGCTCTTGTGTTGTTATGGATGAAACTGAAGTATTCATTGACAGGTAGGACATTGCAATGTATGATTTTATATATTATACTTAGATCAGACCGAAGGCGGTGTAGTTCTAGGTTTTCTAGGTCTAGAATTTCAAGTCTGGTGGCATAAGGTATTCTACAACGAATAGAAGAGTGGAGAACTCTTCTTGTGAAATATTTCTGGACTTTCTCAACTGTGTTAATATCAGATACGTAATGTGGGTTCCAGACTGATGAGCTGTATTTGAGTATTGGTCTAGCAAATGTTTTGTATGCTCTAGTTATTAGTGTAATATTACCAGAGAAAAGGCTACATAAGATTAGGTTAACAACTCTTAATGCCTTTTTGGCTATGTAGTTACAGTGGGCTCTCAACGAGGTCTTGACTATCCAGCCTGTATTTTATTTTCTGATTTTTTTTGCCAATATGTTTCAGAGATTATGAAGACAAGTCTTCTTCCATGTGTTTCTGTCGGTAGTTTGCTTCTAGAATGACGAGCGTTGCAAAGCCAGTCTTAAGCCAGGGGGTACCATGATGTGTTTGGTCATGCAAGGAAAAAAAATGACAATGGGGCAATTGGGCAACTGAAGCTCCACCTCTTTTTTAAAATATATGTCATGTAACAAAAAGAGATGGGACGTTCATTGCACAGACCCAGTCTCCCTCTAATTGTAGTCACAATACCTTTGAAGAGCCCTAATATGAGAAAGGCTTTTATGAAAGAGATAAATTGTTTTATTGTTCTAAAATGTTTTTATTGCTTTAATTGCAGTATGCTTTTTGAATTGTAAGTCACTCAGAGTCATTGACTGAGATAAGCAGCTATAAGAATCAAATAAATAAATAAACCCTCCCTTTAAATACACACACACACAAACACACAAACACACACATACACACATGGAGGGTGACGAAACTAAGGAAAGGCAGCAGGGGGCTCTTTTACCTCAGAGCAGGACCACCTGCAGGGCAGAAAGAATATTATTATTATTTTTAACCAGGCCTGACCTCCTGGTTGTGGGGAGGCAGGAGTTCAGGTACAGGTGAAAACTAAACCACAATCTACTTTAGGCAACTTCCCAGCAGAGATCAGAAGTGGATTAAGGACGCTACTTGACACAACTTATTCACCAGCCTCCCTCCAGCTATGTGGAGAAGCCAGTTTTTCTGGTAACTCATTGATGCCCGTATCTTTGATAACTCCCACATTGAGGGCATACATGTACACAAATGGGTTTCCTAGGGAGAGGGCCTGTGTCCTGAGAGAGCCACCCAGAGTTACTGATAGCCCTGTCACCTCTTGGTCTTCAAGCAAAGACAGCCAGACCTCTGAACTCCCTAGCTCGACAGTCCCTGAGTAGTGTGTGTGTGTGTGTGTGTGAGGGAAATACATTTCTGATGTATCTCCTGCTGGTAGACGGGAGCTTTTGTGCATGGTTCAGAAGGGTTCGTGTACTTCATCTTCTCAAACACTTCACTGGGCTGTGGGAGTAACATGCTGTTCCATAAAAACCCGGATGTTGGTTTGAAAGAAATCAGATTCTTCTGGCATCTAATTCAGTATTTCTAACGTTGCGTATCACCAGCTTTTCTCTTCAGCCGGGATTGATTGCACGAAGGTTTTCTGTCTGCTACGCAGGTGTTTTCCTAATTACCTGTGACCCCTGGCAAAAATATCATAATTTATCTAAAGCTGCCTTACATCAAACCAGATCATTATTTTTTTTTCCATATTTCCTGGGGCTCAAGAGGGGATTCCCTGTTCTTATAGCCCATCAATTATTTTCTTCCTCTTATTCTATAAAGAATATTGAAAGTTTGAAAGGTGTATTGCAACAAAATGCTGAAAGCATTATTAGTCTTTGTTCACTTGGTTTCTGAAAAGACATATCCATCACACTTTTTTTTTTTCAGGGTATGCAGAACTGGAAGAAGAAACTGTAAGCAAGAGAAAAGGAAGTTAGCTAAATCTTGTTTTCCCCATCTTGTTTTTGCTCAAATGGATAAATAGTTGATTGTATAAGTACACAATATGTAATATTGCATGCTGTATATGATTGTTAAAAGAACAACAAGTGTTTGGAATATAGTGTAAACGTTAATACACTTATACAATCATACAAGCAATAGATTAAATATAAGCACAATGCCATTGGTACTATATTTTATCCTTCCCCATCAACCTATTGCCATTATTTTTACCTACATGCCATCTTTTTCCAGAGATTTGAAAGCTTTAATAAAACAGCTAAATAAAAAAAGTACTTGGCTATGATTCTTTACCAGTCAGCCTATTAAAATATGGTCAAGTGAATTTGAAAGATTTTCCCCCTCCAATCCCATCAAGAAAAGATGCAGGAAATGGTAGAGAGACATCCTAATACTTCCCAATGTCTTCAATAGCTCTTATGGGGCAGAATACGGCCATTATCTCTAGGCTGCAAACATCTTTACGACCAGATGGAAGTAAAGCCATCATGTTTCCTGTAGTCTTTTGCTTCCATGTTCAGTGTTTGTCCATATGTTTCAGACAAATGGTTGTTGCCAAGCCAGGGACCCCAAAAAGCCATTTTAGACATCTGCACAGAAGAAAGGAAGAATTGACTAAGGGAAAAATATGAAAGAACATGACAACACTTAGCAATGTTCCAGTATCTAAGGGGGTGGCACAAAGAAGGAGTCAAGCTATTCTCCAAAGCACCTGAAGGCAGGACGAGAAGCCAACTAATCAAGGAGAGAAGCAACCTAAAACTAAGGAGAAATTTCCTGACAGTTAGAACAATTAATCGGTGGAACAACCTTCCTTCAGAAGTTGTGGATGTTCCAACACTTGAAGTTTTTAAGAAGAGATTGGACAACTATTTATGTGAAATGGTACAGAGTTTCCTACCTGGTCAAACTAAAAGACCTCCAAGGTCACTTCCAACTCTGTTATTCTGTTCTGTTATTCACTTTGCTGCCATCTAGCAAGTTATGGATTTTCTACAGCCCAGGTGAGAAGTTTTCCTTGTGACCCAGATAGGTCTGTTTCCGCTCTGAACTCACCTTTTGCATTAGACCTCGAAATGACCCTCAACAAAAAGCTTGCCCGTGTAATGTCCTGTTTAAAATTCTACACTGAGACTAGAAAAGCTTGAGTTCAAATCCACACATTCAGGAGCTCTGGGTAACTATGAGCTAGTCATGTTCTTTCAGCCCAACCTATCTCACAGGGTCGTTGCTGCAGGAAAATTGGCAAGAAACTGTATTGTGTGTGTCACTTAGAGCTCCTAGAAGAAAGGTGATGTGCAAATGCAAGGAATAAGTAAATCAACACCAGCTAGTAAACGTTGTTTTGAACTAATTAAAGACAATTCCTCTTACTGTTGTGGAGCAATAGAAAAACTATAAGAAGTATAAGAATATATATCTGTATATGTAGTGAAACAGCTATATTTGGTATTTTTAAAAAAAGAATAATTATCATGAGTCAATTCTGAACCTCTGAAGCATATGGATTCTGGAGACTCTCAACTGGTACAGAAAGTGGGCTTCATCCATTTCATCGGCTCAAGAGACAGAAGCCCAAGTGTGTGGCTTTATGGTAGAGGCAATGGCCCTGCAAAATGTAGATTACTGGGCACTGATCTAACAATCCCAATTCGTAATTTCTTTCCATCTTTTTATTATTTGTTTTTTCATCACATTTAGAAAACCACCCATCTCCCTCACAGAGGGATTCTGATTGACATCCAAATAAAAACCTTTTTGGGGAAAAAAAATAGTGTGGTCTTGAATTCAAGTTCTACCGAAGGAGAGGAAGGTGGTAGAGGGAACAGAGGAGAGAAACCTGAGAGGAGAGAGAGGAAAAGAGGGAGAAAGAAAGAATATAACCCCCCAGGGAAGAGCTGTACTCCACACAGACCAAATCACAATGGTGGGGAGAGGGGGCAGACACCCCCCCCCACTTGCTTACTGAAAATTTCTGAGCAGGTGGGATGAATACAGGTAGTCCTCAGGTTACGACTACAATTGAGCCCCAAATTTATGTTGCTAAGTAGAAATTTGTTAAGTGAGTTTTGCCCCATTTTACGACTTTTCTCTCCACATTTCTTAAATGAATCACGGCAGTTCTTAAATTAGTGGCACACTTAGGTTGTTAAGTGAATCTGGTTTCCCATTGTCAGAAGGTCGCAAACATGACTCCGGACACTGCAAGCATCATAATTGTGTGTCAGTTGTCAAGCATCCCAATGTAAAATCACGTGAGCCTGGGGATGGTGCAACACCCTCTTTTCGGTGGGTAGTAGCTTCGAACAGTCATTAAATGAACTTTTGTAAGTCAAGGATCACCTGTATAAGACTGAGAGGCACCAGTCACCATTGGCCCCTTTGGGAAGCTTTAGTGGCCCGCTGTGAAGAAGGACTCTTCCGCACTCATCCATCCGATGCTGGTCCTGTAGTTGCGGCTCGGAGTAGCCGGTGTGGCTCACTCCGACCTTCTCCAACTGTTGGACATCCTTCGAAGGCCGTTTGTAGCGGCCATGACTTGGGAAATTCCATCTCTCCAGGACCGGCGAGGAACATGTGGAATTTTCCAGCCGTCTCCCTGGGAAAAGCGGGCAAGGAGGCAGGATATAGAGCCGCGGGTGGCAGCTTCGAAGGGGCGCCTTTGAGGCGCTATGAAGGAGGCCTGCCCAGAGAAGAAGAGAAGGGTCCCCGGCGGAGACACCCCGCGGAGGTGGGAAGCGCAGCCTCCCGAGAGAGAGTCAGCGGGGGCCGGGCAGAGGGAGGGACCGGGGCCGGCGCCCAGGAGGAGCGCCGTTTAAAAGGCCCGGTCCGCAGCCGGGACGCTCTCTCGCCCGCCCCGTCTAAGCTGTGCCCCGCGTCTCCCGGTTATGGCTCCTCGGCTGCCGCCGTTCCTGCGCTCCCTGGTGCGCTATAGGGCTTTCATCGCGCTCTTCGGCACGCCGTTGGTTCTGCTGCCGCTGCCGCTTCTGATCGCCACCAAGGTAGGGTCCGCCAAGGCACCGGGTCGGGTCGTTGCCGGAGGGAGGATCGGCGTTCGGTGATGCCGGTGCCCCGTGCAGGAGGCGCGAGAGCGCGGTGCGCTCTGCACCCGTGAAAAATCCCCAGGCTGCTGTCGCGGGTTTCTCTCGGACGGTTCTTCGACCCCTCCGACGATCCCAGACTTAGCAGCGGGATCGGATCCCGCTCGCCCGCCCCCCCCCGCGAGAGAGAGGCTCTCCCCCGCCACCTTAAACCGAATGGCCGTTGGCTTCTTGGCGGACCGGGATGGCAGTTCCGAGGCGAGCGAGCGAACGAGGGAGGGAGGATCTCTCGGAAGAAACAGGAGAAAGTGAACCTCTCTCTAACCGGTTTGCTGGAGAAATGGAGCGCTGGCACCTCCTGCCCCCCCTGGAGAAAAAAAGGAAAGCTTGTGGAAAGTTAAGGCAGCCGGGATTGGAGAAAGCTCCCTATTCTGCGAAGTCTTAAAACTGTGATAGAGCCTCCATTGACAAATCCAGTCTACCTTCAAATGCTTAGTTCCCTGGCAAAAAGGGGGAGATAGTTTTCCACCTGGTAGAGAAGGTGTTGCCAAAAGGGCAAGACTTTCTGGAAGCAAAGTAAGCATTACATTATGCATTAGGTCCGTTCCCAGACAGTATGTAGTCATAGTACCTGAAGCTGGGTGCCAATCCCTGGGGAATACGCCCTCCTCGTACCCCAAGTGTGAACTGCTTTGAGTCATCTTGTTGACCACGGGACAGACTTGATAGCAGGTCTTTTAGTCTGAGGGATCCAGCAGGAAGTCAGTGGATTTGGGTCTCCATTGGCTCACATGTAATGACAGTAATAACAGAAAGCTTTTCAGAATATATCTCAGCCTTCTATCATTTTTGTCCCCGTTTGCAATGTTTGAAAAGTCAGAAAAAGTCTTACAGGCTTACAACAGTTCATTTAGTGGTCTTTGAAGTTACAACGGCACTGGAAAAAGTGATTTATGACCAGTTTTGACACTTAACTGTTGCAGCACCCCTGTGATCATATGATCAAAGTTCAGATGCTTGATAATTAACTCATATTTATGATGGCTATTAACATCATAAATATGAGTTAATTGTCAGGGTCATGTGAGTGAGTACCTTTGGTGATCTTCTGACAAGTCTACGGGGAAGCCATAGACCATAGATTCATTTAACAACCATGTTACTAACTTAACAACTGGCAAAAAAAAATTGTAAAATGGGGCAAACCCATTTAGCAACTGTCTCACTTAGCAACAGAAATTTTGGGCTCAGTAAGTTGAGGACTACCTGTCAGGTTGACAACCATCAAGTCAGGAATTTTGATTTTTAGGAATTGATTTGGGCGATCTGGAGGAATTTTAGCATCCAGCAGGCAAATTGGTTGCAGCCTGTTTCAGCTCAGCAAAGGGATTGCAAACTTCTTCCACAAAGGATGATTTCCTCACTTCATGGGACAGGGCGCACACTTTCTCAACTTTAGCAGCTCCCAATGTGTGTGGACTTCACCTGGCTGGCTGGGGGAATTCTGGGAGTCGCAGTACACACGAGATTGAGAAACTCTGGGACAGGGAAATTGGGATTTCACAAGGATGGCCGGTTTGGAGAAATTGGAATGAAGCGGTTTTCTCCTTTCTTATGATACTAGAACTGAGATAAGGAGAAGATTGAAACATTCAAGTGAAAGATATTACCCAGATAAAACCTTGTGCTCATAGGCAGTCTACCTCTAAATGCTTGCTGCACGGGGATGGGAGTAGAGAAACCTGTAGCCCAGACAAGGAATAACGGATGGAAACTGAACGAGGAGAGATTCAACCTGGAAATAAGGAGAAACTTTCTGACAGTGAGAACAATCAAACAATGGAACAGAAGTTGCCCTCGGAAGTGGTGGGAGCACCATCACTTGAGACTTTCAAGAAGAGATTGGACTGCCATTTGCCAGAAATGGTGTAGGGTCTCCTGCTTGGGCGGGGGGTTGGACTAGATGACCCAAAAGGTCCCTTCCAGCTCTGTTAATCTGTAATTAGAAACAAGCCACAGGAGAATTTGTCTGTCTGTAGCAATTCCAGAACCAGCAACTACTGCAGGACAAGCCCTCTGCATAAACATTGTGGTACCCTCTCCCCTAAGGCACACATTAATGCCTGGATGTTGACATCATTCAAAAGAGATTGCGATGCTGACCATCAGGAAGGCATGTTTGTTTGTTTTTTAAAATAATGCTGAGAAGTGGGAAAAAGGCAGATGGAGGTGACAAGTCAAATACTGAAATATTTACCAAAGTGAAAACTCTGGTCAAATAGCAATAGCTCTTAGACTTATATACTGCTTTATAGCTCTCTCTAAGCGGTTTACAGAATCTGCCCTCCAACAATTTGGGTCCTCATTTTATCAACCTTGGAAGAATGGAAGGCTGAGTCAACCTTGAGCCTGATGGGATTTGAACTGCAAATTGCAGGCAGCTGGCTGCAGTAGAAGTAGCCTGAAGTACTGCACTCTAACCACTGCGCCACAGAGGCTCATCACAAATGCTTTGCACCATTGGAGTGAAAACTTAGTCTTATTAGGATTGACTAAGCAAAGAGCATATTCCCAAATCCACACTGGCCCATTGGGAACTGGGTGGGACTCCTATATCTGGCCACCAGAGGAGGAAAAAAAACAAAAAAACCCCAAGAGGGCCAGGACTTTTCAGATCCATCCAGATTGCAGTCTGGCTGCTTTGGCACATGGCGATGGCTAACACAAAATATCCCGCCCGTGAGGCCTTTGGCTATCTGAGTCTTCTGGTGATATTTTGCCTCTCACTCCACTCTGCAAGACAGGTAGTCCTCACCTTACAACCCCAACATTTCTATTAAGTGAGGCATTTGTTCAATGAGTTTTTCTCCATTTTACGACCTTTTTTTGCCACAGTTGTTAAGCGAATCACTGCAGTTGATAAGTTGGTAACCTGAATCTGGCTTCCCCGTTGATTTTGCTTGTCAGAAGTTTGCAAAAGGGAATCACATGACCTTGGGACACAGCAACGGTCATAAGTATGAACCAGTTGCCAAGCATCTGAATTTTGATCACACGATCATGGGGATGCTTCAAAGGTCTTCACTGTGAAAAACGGTCGTAAGTCACTTTTTTCAGGGCCGTTGTAATTTTGAATGGACACTAACTGAAGTGCTGTAAGTCAAGGACCATCTGTATTCTGTGGCTACTATGCTTGTCTCCTTAATAACTACTGCTCTGCATTGCTGCAGAAAGCAGGGGGATAATAACCAATTGTTCTGCTTTTTCTCACTCTAGTTACAGCCAGACCTTTTTTTCACACGACAAATATGTGTTTCTTCCTTAATTTTTTCCTCAACATTGGCTTGTTAATTTCTAAGCCTCCCTTGTCTCTTTGACCTCTGAATTAATTATTTGCTCTAAATAAGCAAAGAGACCGTTTCTTCTAAGGGTGAGTAGGTGCAAAGCATTGAGTTGCACAGAGAACTTCTTCTGCGTGTACACACAGAGACCACAACCTACTTCTTAGTAAGCTGGAAAAAAGTGGAAGAGATAGCACCACCACTAGATGGATTCACAACTGGCTGGCAAACCGTACTCAACGAGTAGTCCTTAATGGGTCTAAGTCTACATGGAGGGAAGTGAGCAGTGGGTGCCACAAGGTTCTGTCTTAGGCCCAGTACTCTTCAATATCTTCATTAACAATTTAGATGAGGGAATAGAAGGGGAACTTACCAAATTTGCAGATGATACTAAGCTGGCAGGAATAGCTAACACCCAAGAAGATAGGGTCAAGATCCAGATGGATCTTGACAGACGAGAACACTGAGCCATATCTAACAAAATGAAATTCAATGTAGAGAAAAGTAAAGTCCTACACTTAGGCAAGAAAAACCAGAGGTACACATATAGACTGGGTGAAACCAGATTCAATAGCAGTAACTGTGAGAGGGATCTTGGAGTCTTAGTGGACAACCAGCTAAATATGAGCCAGCAGTGTGCAGCAGTAGCCAAAAAAGCAAATGCAATCCTAAGTTGTATTTACAGAGGGATACAGTCAAGATCAAGGGAAGTACTAATACCACTCTATAAAGCCTTAGTAAGACCACATCTAGAGTACTGCATCCAGTTTTCTTTCACCACATTATAAAAAAGATGTTGAGACTCTAGCAAAAGGACAGAGAAGAGCAACCAGGATGATTAGGGGACTGGAGGCTAAAACATACAACAAACGGTTGCAGGAACTGGGCTTGGCTAGTCTAGTAAAGAGAAGGACCAAGGGAGACATGATAGCGGTCTTCCAATATTTGAGGGGCTGCCAGAGAGGAAGGGATCAAGCTATTTTCTAAAGCTCCTGTAGGCCAGACAAGGAATAATGGATGGAAACTGAACAAGGAGAGATTTAACCTGGAAACAAGGAGAAACTTTCTGACAGTGAGAACAATCAACCAATGGAACAGCTTGCCCTCGGAAGTTGTGGGAGCGCCATCACTTGAGACTTTCAAGAAGAGTTTGGACTGCCATTTGTCAGAAATGGTGTAGGGTCTCCCGCTTGGGTGGGGGGTTGGACTAGATGACCTACAAGGTCCCTTCCAACTCTGATTATCTGTATCTGTATCTAGATCTTAGTGTACTCCTCTCCGGTACACGCAGAGGAAGCTGTTAATTGAACAATCCTCTAAGTCAGCACTTCCCAAACTTTTTCGTTCATTACTCAAAACCACTTATCAGAACATCCTTTTTACCGCTTATCAGAAAGTCTTATTTAAATATCCCTCTTGTGATTGGGTAATGGGTTTGTGTGTCATTATTCAAAGAAAAGACACTTTTACTCAATTTTGGGTGATATACTTAGGTTTGGGAAGCACCATTCTAGGTAGTGAAGTATAGATAAGATCAGGAAACATTTTCAAAAAAATCTTGAGAATCTTTTGGCATTTTCAATTGACACTGTACAGTGATTGAAATACGCAGAACATACAGACCTTAAATCTGATTAACAATTGAATCATTGGATCTACATCTGGAAATACAGGCAATCAGTCTGGTATCTCCCAAATATTTGTAGAAGCTCACATCCCCTTAAAATTCCTGGGGACTTTTAAAGTCAAAATACCTGAAGGGCATATGGTTTCTTGTCTATGCTGCAGACAAAATAGAGCTGAATAGAAATGTTATAATTAATACCTATTTTTTGCTTTAGTGGCGAAATAATGGAAGTCTGTTTTGCACATGCAAAAACACCCAACCCTCCTCTCCACAAGACAAACATTACATAGTAATTTTTAGGCAAACAATAGGGGTGTTGGTCTGTAACAAATATCTTCTATTACCTTAAAGGCAAATTACATTCTTTATCTTTAAGGTACTTTAAGGCACCTGTGGTTAGTATCCAATAAACCTTTCCTCCCATTAGGCATGATAGAGTTAATATAAAATTCTACTGCATTGGTGAAAATCACTTGTTTAGTCCAGAGAGAAACTTGTAAGTCTGGCAGGGCATGAATCCACTTGTTAGCCTCAAGTAAGGCTTTATACATAGTCATTTTGGGCACCGGAAAATTAACAAGTATGAAGCATTTGCACCCAAGAGCTTTTAAGCACCATTTATGACCACTCAATTAGTCTTCCCGCAAGAAAATTACTTCACAAATTCCAGACTAGTTTACTCTCTCATCAGCAGTTTAATTTGGCATGTGTATGCAATATTATCCAAGTTGCGTGCACTTAAATTGTGATTTAGCATCTTCGTTCTGATTACAGGCAGGAACTTGTGAAGGTGGGGGAAATCCCTCCTGTGGATCAAATTTCCACAGGAATAATTAGCTCCGTTCCTGATAGATGAGGAAATCAGGGCTGCTAGT